TACCCATCCCAGGGCTGCCCCTTTGGGGCTATTACACTCCACCCAAACGTCATGGGAGGGAAGAATGAGACTAGAGGAGCCACCCGGCTCACTTCTAAAGGGGGTTCAAAACCCCGTCTTTTTGCTTCTTTCTTTCTTACTTCTTTGAACAAGCAGGGCATCTCCTCCAATCATGCCAGCCGAGTGGTAAGGAAAAGTCGCGTATAATCCAATTTCTCACAAAAGGCTGCTAAGTCCATTGTATCCCTGTTTGAAACGGGCTCACCGTTGATTTTTTATTTTTATTTTTTTTTTTTTTAATAGTACGCTAAAAGGTTTTGTTGAGGCGTGCGTGACTAGTCACTAGTGGCAGGCACGTAAGATTGTGTAAATTATAAGACGCAAAGTTCATAGTCTTTATTTATTTAGAAAAATACTACATTACTAACTTAGTGCACAAATAGATTGACAACATAAGTAAAAATATCCAGTTATGTATTCTTTTAATTTAAATGTTTTCACTTATGTTATCAACCTAGTTGGATACTAGATTGACAATCTAGCATTACTCGTTTATTTATTGATAAGCAATTCCAACACAAAACCCCGCGAATCTGGACAAAGTACATTCTCTCCTATTAAATCTCCACGAGATCTTACTTACCATAAACTAAAGTAGGGTTCGCATTGTGCTATTGAGTCATTTTCATGTGTTGTTGTTCATGTTTCACTATGTACTTTTGTATATCATTTATATTAATCTATATATAATTGCTAGCTAAGCAATAAATTTTACCTAATAAATAAAACCTAATAAATTTTACCTATGTGGCAAATCATTAATAAAACCTAATAAATAGAACCTAATAAATTTTATTTATGTGGCATTAATACACCTAATCTCATTAATAAGAAAATATTTTATTACAGTTTTTTGGGTTAATTAAGACAAAAACCATTATATTTTATGTTAATTGATTAATAATTATATTTTTTATTGAATAATATAATAGTTAATATTAAAATTAGTAATTATATTTTATACTAAATAATATATGAAAGTTACATAAAATTATATTTTACACTAAAAAATCAATATTTTTTATATGATGAAGCGGTTGTTTATTAATAAATTAATTTTTTTTATGTATAGTAAAATTTCTAAAATCACATAAGCAACTGTTATAATTAATGTAATATTTTTCAGCTAATTAATTGGTCATGATCACTCAAAATTATAAAAAGTATATATTTATTACATTTTATGCAATCAATATAGTGATTCGTATACAATCAAATTGTGTGTACTGTTTATTTTAACCAATTACCAAATTTTAAAATATAATACTATTATATAATTTATAATTTTAATATTATATACATAAATATAACTTATAATATAATATGTTTAAAATATAATACAATTATATAACTTATAATTTTTATATTATATACATAAATATAACTTATAATATTTAATTTTATTTACATCTGTGCAAATGCACAGAGTCGAATACTAGTTGCTTATAAATATAATCTATATATATATAATTACTGGCTAATTTATTTAATAAAACATTTAATAAAATATCGTTTCGATTTCCCGCAAAAAACCGTTACAAACTTTATCATTTATATTTCTCTCTATATTTAATTACTAACAGTAAATTTAATAATATTAATTGTTGTTTACCATCTTTTTATGTTACAATCTTCTATTATTATTATTATTATTATTATTATTATTATTATTATTATTATTATTATCATTATTATTATTAATCTACCATATCTAATTAATGCTAAAATATTTCATTGCACTTTTTTTAGGGTCAATTAAAACAAAAACCGTTACATTTTATATTAATTGAGTAATACTTATACTATTTTATTAGTATCATATAATAGTTATTATTAAAACTAATAACTATAGTTTACACTAATGGCATGATTGGTATGATGGAATACAATTTTGTAGAAATAGAATGAATTGAAGAATGAAATGATTATGAGAATGGAATGAAACATGTTTTGTTTGATATTCAGAAATAATATGACTGGAATGGAATGACATTATTATTTTTTATTATAAAAATAAATAAAAGCCTTTTTTAAAAAATAATATACTTCTAATAAATTATATATGTTGACATCCGAATTTGCCCCCAAAGGAAACCGGACAAAGGCAACCTCGAGAGCCGGACCGGGGACCCGGCCGAGCGCATAGGTGCCGAGCTGGGCTCCGAAACTTTTTGACCCTGACATCCCCACGAATCCGTCCGTTAGCCCGGCGTTTGCGACAGTTAAGTTCCGGTGCCGGACTGACGAGTGACGACCTGGAGGAAGGCTCCCCGGAACTGGAGGAGCAAAAAGGGAAAAGGTGCCGACCTGGGGTCTCAGAACGGGCCTCCAATGAGGAATGCCGATCTCGATAATAGTATAATAATGCCACTTGGAGAGTAATCATTGGTTATTGGACGGGGCATCCTAGCCTGCTTACCTACCTCCTCTAGCCAAGACATAAAGCCTGCCAGCATTAAATGATCTCCATGTGTGCATTAAATGCCTGCCAGGCAATGATGAGGAAAACCTCAAATCGCATTGAATTCTGTCAGGGAGGCGCCGGACTGCTCTGCAAGGACACTGTACGACAAGACTGGTGAACAGTACCTGAACAGTGTCACATTTAAAGCCATTATAAATAGCAGCTCACTTCATTTAATTTGGGTTGTTGAATCCCAACTATCTGAACTCTCTCTACTTTCTCTCTCTAGACTCGTGTAAAAACTGTCTAAGAATCTGTAAGTATATCGCAAGTGCCGACCTCGTACGAGAGGCCGACCTCGTGATCTTTTAATAAAATCATAATTAAACCATATTTCTTTGTCTTTTCCCTATCACTTTTTTATTACTTATCTTTTTAACCGTTGACCGGAAACGTCCGTCAACAGTTTGGCGCTAGAAGGAGGGCCCCATAAGTTACTTGGTGTCAATTTTTCGATCTTGTGAAGCTCCACTCCGCACTCATCTTTTTCCACTTTTTCCACTTCCAAAAACTTCTCAAAATGCCTTCATCCGGCCATGATGATTCCACCCAGCAGTCCGGCTCCCAGCCTCGTGGACGCAACGGCGGGGAGACCTCCCGTCGTGCTCAGCAGGGACCCATAGTCCCTATTCCACCAGTTCCTACCTTTGCTGCGGCCTTGCAGCACCCCGATGTCCTCAAAGCCCTCGATGGGGTCTTCGACAAGGCCCTCGCCAGCCAGACAGCCGGGGCAAACACCGTGGTGCCCACGGAAAACCCCGGCAATACCCTGCTCCACACTCCCGAGAAGTAGGCCGGGGGGCAAAGGAACCCGACGAAATCCAAAACCACGGCTCAGTCACCGAACCACGAAGCCCAGAACCGCCATGACAAAAGCACCAGACTAGCTCCTACCGAGCAGACGGGGGAGAGCCGCCCGGAGCGAAGCCTCCAGGTCGTCCGCCGCTCTGTCCACCAACGCTTAGGTGACAAGAGCCAAGCCAACCGTGACCTCCGGGAGGTGATTAGGCGGAGCAAAGCCATATCGCACGACACTGAGGAAGTCGCGGCCCTCAAACGCAGAATCGCCGAACTGGAAGGTCGACAGCCCTCCGGGAGTGAGCTGTCACTCCCAGCCTATCCGTAGCCTTGCATACGATCCACTCCCCGAGTCGTAGACAACGCCTCACCTCTTTCCCCCGATATCCTACAGGAGGCCGTCCCGAAGAAGATCAAAGTACCCCAGCTCGGCCTCTATAATGGGAGCTCGGACCCGGACTCCCACATTGGCCTCTACACTTCGTGGATGGACCTGCATAGTGCCTCTGACGCCCTACGTTGTCGCATGTTCTCCTTGACACTGGGGCCGAAGGCGCAGAGGTGGTATCACTCCCTTTACCCCCACTCCATCTCCACCTGGGCCCAGCTCAGGTCGGCGTTCCGGTCACACTTCATCGGGTCGCAGGTCAATCTAGCCCCCAAGGAATCCATCTCCAACATTGTTCAGGGCGAGAACGAGAGCATGAAGGACTACATCGCTCGGTTCAATGACTGAGTCCAAAATATGGAGCGGTGCCATCCCGACGCCCTGCTGATCACTGCTCAGGGTGGTCTGAGACCGAAAACGCTGTTTAAGTGGTCCCTGTGTCAGAATAAGCCGACTACCTACCAGGAATTCCTCGCTCGCGCTCAGGATTACATAATGGCGGAGGAGTCCTCGTCCATCCCAACGTTTCATACCGCGTCGGTGCCAGCAAAGGCGAAGGTGAAGGAAGAAAAATCGGGGAAGCCGAGCAAGTCATTCGCTAAAATCCGAGCACAGCGAAAACAAAGGGTTGAGGAGCTGAAGGAAAGCTACCAAAGCGTCTTCTCGGTGGGAGCCGCAGCAGTTTACGAGGAGATCAAAGCTAAGGGGCTGCTGCCGGACCCCAAGCCCATGTTCACTGACAAGGATAAGGTGGATAAGACCCGCTACTACACCTACCACAAGGCGCACGGGCATAACACCGACCAGTGCCGAAATCTAATCTCGGCATTGCTCAAACTCATCGATGATCCCCAACTCCGGAGGTTCACCCACTCCGGAGAAAAGAGGAAGAAGGGAGGCCGCTTCAAGGAAGGCCCCGAAAGTGACGAGGATGCCGACGTGAATCCTCGAAGGAAGAAGCCACAGCAGGGTGGCCCCCACGAAATCATGACTTTCTGCCCCACCCACCAAGACGAGGTCGGCACCTCTAGGGGCAGAAGGAGAGACCGGTCCCCACGCACCGGGGCCGATCCGGCCGACTACCCAACCCGTCGCGTCAACACAAGCCGGAGCGAGTCCCTCCTCTCCAGGAGGCAAACCAAGGCCTATGTCCGTCAGGCCTACCATGCCGGGCAGAGGGTGATGCACGCCGACCACAGGCCGGCGCCGGAGCCGACTCCAAACACCATCTCCTTCACCGACGAAGAAGCCTTCCTGTTTGATCACCCCCATTCTGACGTCCTGGTGATCACGGCGCCGATCATGGCGATAAAGATCCATCGCATCATGGTCGATATCGGGGCCTACGCAAGCATCCTGTATTGGCATGCTCTCCACAACTGCCGACCGTCGGTCACACCGCCACCGCTCGCATATCCCCGCTTTCCTGCTGCTGCTGAACACACACCATCCCGCCGCCACCACCGCCTAGCTCCGCTGCAACCACCTTCAAAGAGGAGCGCCTCCGCAACCAGCCACGATTCCACCGGTGCTCCGGCGACGTCTGAAACCAAAGGCACTCCGACGGCGAGGCTAGCCTGAGGCAGGAGACGGCTGTGACAGGTTGATGCGGGAGGACGGGAATCAGATTTGAGTTTGGGGGGTTTTCAACTGAGAATTTGATACTTCTCAGGGGCCTTAGTGCAGATTTAAGTATATTAATATATTTACAATATAATTAATGACCTAAATTACAATTAATTAAGGTGCTAATGAATGCAAATTAAAGTTCTGAATTGATGAAGCACGTGAATTGATGAATTGAGTGGATAGAGTGGAGAAAGTATTTGAATATTTGGTTATGCATATATTATATTAAATAATAAATAAATTATTAAATAAAAATAATATAAAAATATTTTGTAATAATAACTAAATTATATAGTAAAATATATTAAATAAAAAGTTATTCTAATTATTTATGTTAATTGGAAGTACAAATATACATATAATTTATCTTAGAAGTATAAATTAGCTAGTGCACTTTATTTAGGGGGATGTCGCGCTTTATATACTAACATGTTGCACTTTATAAAACAACACTTACACTTTATCACAAACTCTATCTACAAAGAACACAAGCATGTTAACGTGCCAGAAATTAATGCGTTTCGCTTTATATAGTAATACATTTCATCTTATAACATAACTATTGTTACTAATATATATTTTTTATATAAGAAAAAAATAATTGCACTTCAAATTTACATTAGTGTTAGACTTATTGCACGTTAATGTCTTCTAGATTGCTAGCGTTAGACGAGTTGCACATTAGCGACCGAAGCTGGTTGATGACTTTTATCTTGGATCGATTATGTGTTTACCTTTAAAATTTTAGTTATTTCGGTTCGATGTTAGCTTTATTTATTTGTTTATTTTTTAAATACCCGAAATAATTGGACCGACCAAACCATATAAAAAAAAATACTAACTTTATATATTTTTTTAATAATAATATTATCACATATTATATCTACAAAAAACACAATCATGTTAATTTGCCAGAAATTAATGCGTTTCACTTTATATAGTAATATGTTGCACCTTATAACATAAACACTGTTACTATATATTTTTTTATTAAAAAAAAAACAATTACACTTTAAATTCAGATTAGTGTTATACTTATTGCACGTTAATGTATTTCAGATTACACTTTAGCGTTAGACGGGTTGCACATTAGCGACTGTCGGATTGCACTTTAGCGACCGAAGCAGACTGATTTTTTTTTTTTGTTCAAAAGTTATGATGGATCGATTATATGTGTTTACCTAAAATTTTAGTTATTTCGGTTCGATATGAGCTTTATTTATTTATTTATTTTTTAAATACTCAAAATAACCGGACCGACCAAACCATATAAAAAAAATATTAATTTTATATTTTTTTAATAATAATATTATTTTTTCAATCAAAATAAATAAATTGTTATATAAAAGTATTAATGTGCAATTTAAATAACATTAATGTGCATTTATCAAATAATAATCTACACTTTCTTTATCATTATTATGTATTTTATATATTTTTTATAAATTATAGATTTGACCCATGTACCAAATTGAAATTTGATAAAAACTCTAGAATTGCAATTAAGTCCTCTAAAGTTATCAATTGACAAATATATGCCCAAAAATTCCAGCAACTGGATCTGCAACTGGACGTGTGCAAGTTCTTCTCACATTCACCAGCAACAATTTCTTCTCATCGTGAATGTCGGGTTGGCAATCGCCGGCCGTTCGGTAACGAACGTACTCCGGCAATGACGGCGGCGGAGGTCCTCACGCTTCCCGCGACCATCTCGAAGGCGTCCGGTAGGCCGGAGATGGGTTGCGCGGCCCCTAAGCGGGATTATTCCGCCGATCGGCGTTGCGTCGAAGCAGAACGGCCAGTTACCGAAGTGAAGCTTCGGGCTGTGGCTGACGGCGGGCATCTCCGGCGGGCATTAATCTTGCGACGCGGAGGCGGTGCTGCAGGTGCAGGTCATCTCCGGGCCCGACGGCGATCTCTTGGTGGCGGAAGACGAATGTGAGTCGGCGGGCTGGTTGTGATGTGCCGTTACCGGACGTGTGTGTGTGTGTGTGCGGCGGGTGTGTGCGTGATTTGCAGTCGTCTCTGATCTTCCCGGTCGTCACATGGTCGGAATCGGAGAAGTTTGCAACAGTGGGCTGGAGTTGGCAACGAATTGACCGGCGATTATCGAGGCGGCTGTTGTTGGGAAAAATACGCTGAAATTTCCATGAAGTCGGATCTATAAAAGTGAAATAAAAATAAAAATTGGATACACCAAATTGATAACGGAGTTCGGCCAATAATGCCTTTGTCTCCGGACTACTGCAGATATTTTATTGGAAAAAAGAAATTACACTCGTGTTTACAAAACACTCTCGAAACCACTCACAACTCACAACTCAAATACACACAGAAGCTAAAACTTTTGCTTCTTACTCACACTTTTTTTTTCTCTCTTTTTCTTCTTGGTGTGTTGTTGTATTTTTCTTTTCGGTTGTGGTGTCTTTCACCTCTGTCCATTGCTCTCTATTTATAGAAAAAACTTTGCAGTACCAAATCTTTCAAAATTCATACGGATAAACATTCATTTAATTTTGGTGCCCAAAAGTCAAAAAGAAATGGCTGCAATTGGGGCTGCTGCACTCGAAATTGTCTGCTTGTCAAAGAAATGGGCCGCAGCCATTATTTGACTCAACAATCTCCCACTTGAGGACTGATTCAATCTGTCCTCACACCTCAATTACTGCAGTAGTCTTCTCCGGTCTGTTATTCTAGCAAGCCAACTGAAGTTGAGCACAACTTCAGTTTGTCAATAGTCACCACCTTCGTTAGCATATCTGCCGGGTTCTTGCTTCCTACAATCTTATTCAATGTCAACACTTTATCCACAAGCAGAGATCTGATGAAATGATATCGTATGTCAATGTGCTTAGTTCTGGAGTGAAACACTGAGTTCTTTGCCAGATGTATTGCACTCTGACTGTCACTGTGCAAGGCACTCTCTTTCTGAGTGAAACCCAACTCTGCTAACAATCCTTGAAGCCATATCAATTCCTTACTGGCTTCTGTCACTGCTACATACTCAGCCTCTGTAGTGGATAGAGCAACAATCTCTTGTATCCGCGACATCCAACTAACAGCTGTAGCCGCGACAGTGAAAACATAACCGGTGGTGCTTCTCCGGTGATCAACTTCACCTCCAAAGTCTGCATCTACGTAGCCCTGTAACTTTAGATCTCCTTTTCTAAAATACAGACATTTTTCTGTTGTGCCCCGTAGATATCTCAAAATCCATTTGACTGCTTCCCAATGAGCTTTTCCTGGATTTGACATAAACCTGCTAACAACTCCCACTGCATGACCAATGTCTGGCCTCGTACAGACCATCGCGTACATCAAACTTCCAATGGCTGAAGCATAAGGAATCTTAGCCATAAACTCTTCTTCTTCTTTTGTTTGAGGATACTGATCCTTGGATAGACGAAAATGACTGGCCAAAGGTGTACTAACTGGTTTAGCCTTATCCATGTTAAATCTCTGCAAGACACGGTTGATGTACTCTGCTTGAGATAACTGCAAAACTCCCTTTTACTTATCTCTCGTGATTTGCATTCCAAGGATCTTCTTTGCTGGGCCTAAGTCCTTCATGTCAAATTCTTTTGACAACTGCATCTTTAATTTTCTGATGTCTTCCATATCTGATCCTGCTACTAACATGTCATCAACATAAAGTAGCAAGATGATATAGTTGGACTCATACTTCTTGAAGAAACAACAGTGATCAGCATTGCACTTCTGGAAGCCTTCCTTGTGCATGAAGCTTTCGAACTTCCTATACCACTGTCTTGGAGCTTGTTTCAGGCCGTACAAGCTCTTCTTCAATTTGCACACCATATCCTTCTTTCCATCTGAAAATCCTTCAGGCTGGTGCATATAGATCTCCTCATCTAGGTCTCCGTGAAGAAATGCAGTCTTCACGTCTAATTTCTCTAGGTAGAGCTCTTCGCTAGCCACAATACTTAACACAGTCCTGATAGTATTGAGCTTTACAACTGGAGCAAAGATTTCAGTATAGTCAACTCTTTCTTTCTGCTGAAATCCATTGACAACCAGTCGGGCTTTGTATCTCCTGGAACCATCATGGTCTTCCTTCACCCGATACACCCATTTGTTGTGAAGTGCTTTCTTTCCCATAGGTAACTTGACTAGTTCCCATGTCTGATTTGAGATCAAGGACTTCATCTCGTCCTTCATGGCAAGCTCCCACTTGCTAGCATCTGTGGTTTGACAAGCTTCCATGTAACTTTCAGGCTCCCCTCCATCAGTCAGCAACATGTAGTCCATGTATCTCCTGTTAGGCACATGGGGCCGAGAGGACCTTCTCAATACAGGAGCTGGAGTAGGAGGTTCTGATTGCACATCACTTTCTTCATTTGATTCCTCTGACTGAGGACTTCTCATTATAGGACTGTCTGGGATATCTTCCACCTCAGCATAAACTGGCCCACTCGCTTCTGAGTTGCTGGCATCTGTATTATGCTGGTCCTTGTAGATCACTCTTTCATTAAAGATGACATCTCTGCTGCGGATCATCTTTTTGTTTTCATCATCCCATATGCGGTAGCCAAACTCATCTTCACCATAACCAAGGAAAGTACATTTCTTTGATTTTGGATCAAGTTTGTTTCTACCTTGATCACTGATGTGCACATATGCTACACACCCGAAAACTATAAGATGTGAGAGTTTTACTTCTTTTCCGCTCCATACCTCTTCTGGTAACTTGTGATCCAATGGTACCGATGGACTTCGGTTGATCAGGTAAGTTACTGTGTTGACTGCTTCTGCCCAGACCTACTTTGGTAGGCCTGACTGCACACGCAAGCTTCTGGCTCTTTCAGTCAACGTTCGATTCATACGCTCAGCTACACCATTGTGTTGAGGCGTACCAGGCACGGTTCTCTCCATTTTGATCCCGTGCTCATAGCAAAACTTCTTGAATCTGGTGGTTACGTATTCGCCACCATTGTCGGATCTGAGCTTCTTGATCTTCAAGCCTGTCTCATTTTCCACCATAGCTTTCCAAATCTTGAAAGCTTCAAATACTTCTGACTTGTGTTTCATAGAAGTAAACCCATACCTTTCTGGAGTGATCATCGATAAAAGTCACGAAGTATTGCTTCCCACCAACGGATGGGACAGTCGTTGGACCCCAAACATCAGAGTGGATGAGCTCAAGCTTCTCCTTCTTTGGAGTTCTTCTACTTGTCTGAAAGTTGACTCTCTTTTGCTTTCTAAGTATACAACCTTCACACATGTCAATTTCTATTGACTGGAGGCCTGGTAATTTTCCTTTTGAGTGAATGATCTTCATCCCTTTTTCACTCATATGCCCAAGTCCTTGGTGCCATAGATTGGGACTTTCATTTGCTGCAACTGCAATCAGATGACATGCTCCTGAGGTCTTGTAAAGAGTACCACTCTTTTTGCGTCGAGCAATTGTCATCGCACCCTTTGAAATCTTCCAATCATCACCGTGGAAGGTTGTCGTGTAGCCTTCACTGGCTAGCTGGCCCACGGAGATTAAATTCTTCGTCAGGTCGGGAATATGTCTAACATTTTTCAATTCCCATACAGACCCGCTCAGCTTGATTTTTATTGCACCTTTCCCTACAACCTCACATGATTGCTCATTACCAAGGTAAACTTTACCAAGGTAAACTTTACCAAGGTTACCAGGAACATAATTTTCGAGTAGTTCCTTCTGTGAGGTAGCATGAAAGGGTGCTCCAGAGTCTAACACCCACGACTCTTCTCTGTTCTCCAAAGAACATACCAGCATATCTCCTCCTGAGGATGAGGCAACATTTGCTTCTTCTTTTGCCTCCTGACCCTTCGGTGCACTCTTGCACTGGTTTCTGTAGTGCCCGGTCTTCCCACAATTCCAGCACTCGAACGACTTCGAGCTTTGGAAATTACGATGATTTCTGGACTTGGATCTTCTTCCTTTTGATTTGTTGTGTCTGCTTTCTTTGGTTGAACTTCTTCCTCTTGACTCTGTATGCAATACAGAAGAGGTCGATGGTTCACCCGACTCTCTCCGCCAGATCTCTTCACTGAGAACCAAATTTTGGACATCATCGAATCTCAACTTATTGCTTCCCGATGAGCTACTCACATCCGTGACTGTAGCATTCCAACTTTCTGGTAGGGAAGACAAAAGTATTAAAGCCCGTACTTCATCATCGAACTCGATCTCAACTGAACTCAACTGGGTTGTGACGGTGTTGAGCTCATTGAGATGATGTGCCACCGAAGCACCTTCGGTCATCCGAAGGTTGAACAATCGCCTCATCAAATGAACTTTATTTGAGGCCGATGGTTTCTCGTACATGTTGGAAAGAGCCTTCATGAGGCCTGTTGTCGTCTTTTCTTTTGCAATGTTAAAAGCAACATTACGGGATAATGTCAGCGGGATGGCTCCAAGAGCTTGTCTGTCAAGGAGACTCCATTCTTCCTCCTTCATGTCCTCTGGCTTCTTTCCTGTGAGTGGTTGATACATATTCTTCTGGTACAGATAATCCTCGATTTGCATCTTCCAAAAGCCAAAGTCCGCACCATCGAACTTTTCGATTTTCATTTTTCCTTCGTCTGCAGCCATCACTTCGACTCTGATCTGACTTCTCTGCCGGATCGTTTCTGTAATTTTTGTGAATTACCTTGTTTTAAAACACGTCGGTAGATGAATTGTAGTGCCGACAAAATTGGTACTATTCACGTTTTTCAACGGAATAGTAACACCACACAAATAATTACAGAATCAACAATCTGGCTCTGATACCAGTTGTTGGGAAAAATACGCTGAAATTTCCATGAAGTCGGATCTATAAAAGTGAAATAAAAATAAAAATTGGACACACCAAATTGATAACGGAGTTCGGCCAATAATGCCTACGTCTCCGGACTACTGCAGATATTTTATTAGAAAAAAGAAATTACACTCGTGTTTACAAAACACTCTCGAAACCACTCACAACTCACAACTCAAATACACACAGAAGCTAAAACTTTTGCTTCTTACTCACACTTTTTTTTTTCTCTCTTTTTCTTCTTGGTGTGTTGTTGTATTTTTCTTTTCGGTTGTGGTGTCTTTCACCTCTGTCCATTGCTCTCTATTTATAGAAAAAACTTTGCAGTACCAAATCTTTCAAAATGCATACGGATAAACATTCATTTAATTTGGTGCCCAAAAGTCAAAAAGAAATGGGGGCTGCTGCACTCCAAATTGTCTGCTTGTCAAAGAAATGGGCCGCAGCCATTATTTGACTCAACAGCTGTGATGTTGACGGCCAGCGGCGGCCCTGTTGTCCCTGATTTTCCCAGCGAGTGCTTGTGTGTGTATACGGTGTGTGTAGGTGTGAGTTGTGTGTGTATATGTGAGAGAGAGTAGGTTAGTGGTAGTGGTGGGCCGCTTATATTGTGTTATGGCTGATTTGCCCTCATTAAGTGGGTAAATGATAAAATTTGACCATCATATGCGCAATTATTTACAAGAATGTCATTAATGTTTGACTGAATTTAATTTGATTATGACCATTTGATATGTGTGATCTAATGGTACAGATTTATTCTTATTTCTTTCACTATGTTTCATTCTCATATGATTCCAACTAGTACAGAGCCCGTGCGATGCACGGGGTGCACAATTTTAAGGCTATTTATCCAGACTTATAATTATATACATGAATACAGAAAAATGTACGGGATATATATAGTACGCGACTCGTGCGAGGCACAAGATATATTTATTTGAGGATTACTATATTATAAGATGCAATATTCAATAAAAATTTTATAATGCAGAAAAATTATACAATAAGATAGTATTCGACAAACAAACAATCATATATTATTAAAGACCACCTTGTACACAACATTATGAGTTTGATTTTCCATACAATAATAATAAGATTTTTTGTAAAAAGATAAGAAGGAATTTTCAACTACACAAAATTTAAACATTAGATGTGTTTACGTAAATCAATGACTATATAGACAACTAAACTCTTCAATTTAGGCTTGACATCTACTTTATTTATGGGTGACGTAAAATAAGGATTTAATTTTGACCGATTAAATCTTTATTCATAGGTTTGACATATAAAACTGATTTGATGGGATTTTCTTAACTAAACCGATGCTATGGGATGAAACAAATCTATACTTACCTTTGACATTTCCAGTAAAGGTAAAAAAATCGGTTCTGATTTTTATCCCATAACAAATCTTTAATGTCAAGCCTATAAATACCAAAACAAATCTGTAATTAGTATCATTCTATTTCCAGCAAGCATTAATTACCTTTGACTTTTCTGCCTACTATTTCTAGTAAATAGGATGACTTTTTATATAAGTATAGATTTCATATAATGCAAAGACTGAGATCATAAAAAAGAATCCTAAAAACTGAAACAATATATTTGCATAATTTAAGGCCATTAAGAAATCGATCTCTAAACCAGATTTGATTTTCAGAATATGCTTTTTCATTTCGAATTCCATACAAAATGGAATTCTTTCCAACCAATAGATGTCATAGCAAATATTAACTCTTAACTATTAGACTATTAGTACATACCGAGCAAATTGTGTACTGATTTTAGAAAGTTAAATGATTCATGTTAGGTAATTTTACATTTTATGCATGTTGAACGGTGGGTTTTAAATATTGTTTCATAGAACGTAAAAGTGTATTATATTATTTTTATGAGATGTTGAATTTGATAATAGAATTCTTCTTCATAGGAATTTTAAATGTAACAATATTCTTTTGTATACACTACTAATAAAATCTATATTTAAAGTTTATATTTTTTTTTACCGGAAAGAATTCCTTAATTTAAGGAATCATATATCTTCAATCAGTCCACATCTATATACATTCTTCACAATTTTAAATCTTGAATTTGATGAGAATTCGTATCTATGAGTGCAAAATATGGTTTAACAAATTAATATTTTATTATTATTCCAGCCATACTTCTTTATACGATTTTTTGTGAAAATACGAAAGTAAATTCTTAATTTTAAATCAGCCGTACATTAAAGAGTACAAATTTGTTGAAATTACAAAAATAATTTTTTACTTTTAAACAGACGTAAATTTAAATCAGTTATAAAAAAGTAATATTTGTTTACCATTTAAATATTAAATCAGCCGTAATTAATGTTGATTGTTTTAGTTGCCACAATTTTCTCCAAACTAAATTAACAACTGCCATGATTTAAGGGCAACATTTAATGCTGCTCTATTTTTAGGAGACATTAAATGTATTTGGCAGAAAAAACTTGTTAAAAGTGTTAAATGATTATCTTTTAATATAATGATTATATAGGATCACGCTCCGGTGAGAATGATTCTTAACGAAAAAAATAAGAATAAATCGGAATCATTATATCAGACAATTTAATGATTTAAAAAAAGACGTAATTATACCTTCATTAAAAGTAAGATAGTAAATTTACACACTACACTCAAACAGGTGAGACCCACTACATTAACCCCACCTGTCAACTAAACCAACACCTACAAGCTAACCCTACCCCACGCCCCACCCCACCTACCAGCCAACCCATATCCCACCCCACACCCCGTTCTCTCTCACACAGAAACAACACACACACACACATCTTCGTAAAATAGGTGACTGAACCAGAGAGGCTCGCCGGTTTTCGACGGGCTCGGTTGGGTTTCGACGCTCACAGGTTTGGGCTTCACGAGCGAGTTCGATTTTCTTCCAATTGCGTTGCTTTCGTTCCTGGCTGTGGTGATTGGGCTCGGGCTCGGGCTCGGGCGCCGGCGAGGACTCGGCGCCGGCGAGTGGGAATTGTAACCGATGTGGTTGCGGCCGCCGCTCGCCGAGTGCAGGAGTCCCTTGAGCTGCAATGCCTCGAGGATCTGTTTCAGTGTATCTAAATCCCGCGACGGCTCATCCATTCCCCTGAATCTCAATCCGCTCTCGATCTCGACGTACTCCGAGGCCGCCGCCGCCAATTTCGGCTCCGGGAAGAAGTCTCCGGAATCTGTTCAAGCACTTGTAAATCGTAGAAGCCTCTGCACAATTTTCTGATTTTCCGTTGCCAATTGACGAGAATGATTTTGGGTTGATGTCTAATTTTTGAGAATTAGATATTTCTTAGGGTCCTGATTGAAATTTCAAAAAGTTTGATCAAATGTCAATTTAGTACATGGGTAAAATTTGTAATTAAGAAAAACTTTATAAAAAGTATTATTGTTTATATATCTTTTTATACATATAAATTAAAATAATAAAACAAAACTAATAAATAAAAATAATATGAAATATTAAAATAATATACATATAATATATAATAATAAATAAAAATATTAAATTGATAAATAAACTTTTATATTATAAATAATAAACGATTTCATTTGTTTAGGATAATTCAGTTAACCAATTAAATAAACTGATTATAAAATAAAAATAATATAAGATATCAAAATGATTTATAATAATAAATAAAATATATAATAAAAATAATAAATGAAAATATATTTTAATTATTTAGGTTAATTAGATGTCAAATTATATCTATTACAACTAGTTTTCAGATACAATTGGAAAAGTATAAATTAGTGCACTCTATACAGCGAAATATTGCACTTTATATAACGAGTCGCACTTTATAAAACAATATGTTGCACTTTATCATTAGACTCACCAATTAATGTCAATATCTCTAGTCGAAATATTACAGAATATAAATATAAAAAAGGAAACGACATGATACTTTATATCCACAAAAATCGCACGATCATATTAATGTACCAGAATTTAAGTATTACACTTTATATATCAATACACTGCACTTTATAAACCAATACGGTGCACTTTATAACACAACCCGTTGCACATACCAAAATTAAAGTAATTTTAATTATCTATCAAATAATATTAGTTGGTTAATAACGGACTTAGTTTGTTTTTTTTTTTTTCAAATAAACAAAATAGCCGAACATGTCGAACTATATTGAAAACATATTATCGATTTTTCTATTATAAATAATAATATTTTGTATTTATATTTTTATGTATTGCGAGTGCACATTAGGGTTATACGAATTGCACATAAATGCTTATCAGATTGCACAAAACCGAACAACATCCACCGAACATAATTTCGATACGAATTTTTATATTTTGGTATTATTATTATTATTAT